TGCCGAGCCAGACATACACAAATGGCAGTAAATCACAGTGTATGCAAAGTGAATAAATATAACTATCTGAATAAGGACACTAGTGTCAATTTATGTATTAAATGTTAGTAAAATTTACTTTTTAGGTAAAAGAAAACTAAAATAGAAATTGTACTATTTTCTTCTTACATCCCCCAAATTGTCTTGTATACCCTGAGCATTTTGCTTATGTTACCCCTGCTCTAAAAGATGGAAAAACAAAGAACAGTACAAAAAACAAGTCTCAAAACTTTTTGTTTCAACTAAAGAGCTTTTTTAAATTTTAAGACTTTATATGGAGAAACTGAAACATTACTAATAGAGCAAATTGATCCAATCACTTTAGAAGACTGTCCCGATTGACTGTAGTTAAACTTATACCTACTTTTTATCTTAGCAGTCTGTGGTAGGCATATACCCAAGAGAAATGAGTGTTTATGTCCCCCGAAAGACTTGTACAAGAATGCTCATACATAGCAGTTTTATTAATAATAGCAGAAGACTGAAAACAACCCAGGTATGCATCCACAGGAGAATGGATAAGTGAGACTGTAGTATATTCGTGCAATGAAGTACTACTCAGCAATAAAAAGGAAAAAACTAGTGATGTCCATATGCGTGCCTCAAAAACAGAAGGTGGAGTGAAAAATCCAAACGGTTAAGAGTACATTCCGTATGATACCATTATGTGCAAAAACAGGCAAAACTGATCGATGGTGATGTGCACATGTAAAAATTTATCAGTCTACACATTTAAGATTTGTGTACTATACTGTATATAAGTTATACTTCAGTTTAAAAAACACTGTATGAGGTGGGGAAAAAGAAGAATCTAATACTACACCTTTCTTCACGGGTAGAATTGGACCATTCTTGGCGTTCGGTGAGAAATGTCTTTCCTTTAAGCTTCATTCCCACCGAGTTGCATCTTCCTGTTCCTTTTTGCCGCTTAGAAACCTCATTTACTACTTGGCAGCTTTCCCTTCAGGTTTCTTTTTATTCCTGATTTCTGCCTCTGTCTCTGTTTAAATGCATTAGAGTCTTTCTGTTCCTTTCACACTAAATCATGGCTCAGTTTTTTTTATCTAGCTCCCAACCTCTCACCTGACAAAGCTTAAAGCCTTTGACTCATTCTGTGGCAGCCTGCTGAACTTTTATTGAGCTCCTGCTTTATGTAAAGCACCAAACCAGGTGTAGTTTTTCATTTTTCTGCCAAGAGATTAAATTTACAGCAATTTAAAAATAGGATTATAATTAAAATGTTTCCGTATCTCTTATTAACATAAATACTGGTTGGAAGTCCTCAGTTTCTGATCCATATCACTTTCAATTTTCTTTTGCCTTTGACACT